TTGAGATCCTTGTTAGATTATCAGATAAAGGGACGGAAAATGATGCGATATTCAGCCCGTTAATTCGGCTAAACTCGTCTTGCCAATATTTTGTTAATAAGTTTGTAATTTTTGTACTTAATTAATTTATACACATTATTTATGTATACGTGTAATTCGTGTTTAGCAACGCTAGATGGGCCTTCCAATAATTTTAAGCGCATTCTCTCTTTCTCTCTTTCTTACTTGCAAAGTCAAAAACATCTCTCATTAAAGAATAAACTTTCAAAGAAGATCCGCGCGAATAAGAATATAATATATGAGCACCAAAAAAAGCTATTTTAAGGTAACATTAAAAGAGCTGTTGTTTCCACGCGCTTCTAAAAGAGTATAACTTTGCATATCTGCAACTGCATATCAAAGTGATAAAAAATAAAGATAAAGAGAGCGGTATATATTTAGATATTCTCTTCCATACTTTTCAAATCATCGTATTATTTATTAACTATAATATGTAAGACGTATCAGGTGCGCTGTACAAAAACAACGCTCCCGTTAAGGATAATAAACGAATTCCGTTTCTTACGCGTTTCATTCTTAACGCGTCATACATTTTATATGTTCATACATACGAAATATATACAGTGTCTACATTTTTAGCATAATCGAAGCATCGGATGCAAAGATTAGAAAAGTTATTCAATGAGTAAGTTGTATGCCTTTCTGTCAGTTAGTATTGTTAGCAATGCACCAATCGCATATGATAATTAACGAATAAAATATATTGAAGAGAAACATATAGAAAAGTGCATAAACTATATACATTTTTTATTTTCATAATTGAAGGAAAACAAAATGTCTGGGATATTTGTTGCATTCTTGCAGCATTTATCAAAGTTAGGCTTGTCTGACATGCGTTATTTGCATCCTGATCTACGATTATCTAAATCTCTACTTTGATTGACTTTGTAATTAAATTCAGCTCAAGATGACATCGAAACTTATTACTATCAGACATATCCTCCTTGTCTTACAAATATAAAATATAATCATGCGTGAAATATTTATAAAGCAGCAGTATCGTGAAAATTTTAGATTCTTTTAAAACATTTGCTTATAGTAAAATATCTGCTTATCAATCACCAATCTTAATTTGATTTTAATGTGCTAAAGTCTTCCCGATGTCTTCTTCATGTATATTACCTGTATATTCCTCTGAAGTATGTTATAATTTTCAAGTCACAATTCCTCAAATATTTTTAAAAAAGATGCATAATGATTGATGAATACGTTTATTATAGAATACGTTTGATGTTAGATATATGTTGATAACAAAAAAGAAATAAAAAACATAAAAGATAACAGGGAGATACGCCGATAGTAATCTGTCTCGATTCAAAATCTTGTGTATATATTTATATATGTCTGACTTATATTGTTACAGCTTGCGGAAAATATTTCTCGTTTCTCTGCAATATCCTTAAACGTTAAGAAGCTACTATTATTATTATTATAAGTAATCGAGTCTAGTCCATTTATTAAAAAAGCAAATTAGTAATTATATATAATAATATGTATGCTTAAATTGTGATAATATTCTCGTCGAGAAGCTGATTTAATCGACAATCTTATTGATTATAAGTTCTTTTTGGTGCATTAACGTATAAATGTAACTATAAGAAAGGAGATAATATGATATATTTCCGCGAGATATGCATTGACAGTCGCCTCTATGAACATTGAATTATAATCGCGAGGATATTTTGACGATCTAAGCATTAATGTATATTCATTGTATATTTGAAGTAAGGTATCTTAATAATATAACGAGCATAAATTAAGAACATAGTTAATACAGATTCTCAACCAACTATTCATATAGACCGAGAACACGTACCTTATTTTCCAACCATTTACTCGCAGGAGTAATTAAAACTCGATTAGATTCAGCGTGCTGCATAGCAGAAATTACGCTGCTTCAGAATCGAGTAATCTCGCCGAAGAAGCTCAGAGAAGTTCGCTTCTTCGAAAATTTTGAACGGATTTCTGCGTGAGAGAAATAAGTAAAAAAGTTAAGGTTATTCCTTTTAAATATGAAGCATCACATAAAAAAATTATAAATTCGTCGTTCGAGAGCATAGTTCTTTTTTATCTTGCAGTAAAATTATTATTCTAAAGAAAATTATTATTATTATTATTCTAAGGAAAAATGTAACTCTATTTAATGTCGACAACTATAATTTCACAAAAAAATTTAATGACGTTCTAGGTAACTAATTTGTTATATCAGGTCATCTATCCTAGAAATCTTCATGTTTTTGTATTAAATATTTCAAGAGAATGTTGAAAATTATTTACTTTTATCTAAATGCTTTGTTACGAAATTGAATAAAAATACTTTCGTTGTTACTTGCATCTAAATGAATGAAAATTTAACGTATATGTATATTTGAATAAAAAATAGAATCTCTCGAACGGAGAAATATATATATAAATATCAAATAAATTGTTTTGAACTCATCAGCATAAGAATTTATTTATTTAATAATTTTTGCAAACAGTGTTTTATTTTATATGTTTGAATGTATCGAAGTCGAGTAACAGTACCATGCCAAACCGAATTTTGAATCTTGATCACTCCATCCATTTTTCTCTGATATATTATATCCTATAGGATCTAGCTATTATTAACACCATTGCTAATAATAAGTTCTACAAATAAAATTTAAAAACTGTATCAAATGTTTATATATATGAAATAAATTATGATAATGCAATAAAATTAGTGTTTTATCAATTTATGTGTCTTTAATGCTTTTATCAGTTTTTTTCTTTTTCAAAACAGTTTTCAAATCAGTTTTTTTCTTATTCCAAATCATTAGATTGCCCTATTTGAAATTTTACATTTCTATAAAATTTCTCAATTCTGAATTTCCGACATTATTCTTTTTTACTCAGTATGATGTGTACTACCTACCATGAAAATATTGATTTATTTTATATACCCTATATATGCATATCTACGAAACATCAGAATACTAATAAATCATAAAATTACTATATTATCAGTTTATTTCTCTCAATCATTTAAATATTATAAATGTTTACAGCATCCGAACTTCTATAAGATCAATGATCTTTAATAGTATTTCATCGGTAATAGCTATCAATGACCTTTAATATTTCGTCGGTAATAGCGATTTCGGCTGGGACGCATATTTTAATGTCGGTATACTTTTGGATTCGACTAATCGAATGCAGTTCATTGCCGATGCTGCGTATTCGTTTAGGTTTATCGGCATCGTATAGATGCATATTGGGTATACATAAAATAAAGTTCAAATAATTGTTCAAATTTAAGTAATTAAAAGTAAGAAACTAATAATGTATCACTAATTTTATGATTTATTAGTATGATTTCATAGACATGTATATATTTTTAAAACTCGTCAATACAACAAACATTTTAATTTATTTAAAACTTCGAATATTTAATGTTATCATCCAAGTTTGATTATCAATGGAGATAATTACTGTAGAGAAAAAAATTTTGAAGAAGCAATATGTAAGATATTATAGCATTACAAATATGTATACTTATTTATGCAGTATTTATATAATAAAAAATTATAAATTTGATAATGTATTATCCAAATATTATTTTATGTTAATATAATATATAACCGCAAATTTATATCAATTGTCGATAATATCACCGTTCATTAATTACCTCCGCACCCTCCATATCCTTTTGATGGTATCACGAAAATTTGCCGAGGATTATTAACATTATCATCGGTTTTTAATAATCAATTTAATATTATTAAATTAATTGTCTATTTAATTTGTTTGATATTACTACTCTAATTCTGTTAGGAACGTGTTTCAAAATTGAAAACTATATTCGGCGCGTAGTCTGCAGGATTAAATATGATACATAAATTATTCGATATGATACACCGAATTATTTAAATAAATTATTTAGACATTAAAGCTTTCATTTCCTAGTCATTCTTAGTTATTGTCTATTCCCATTGCGATATTAAAAAATACTTTGTTTAATATTAAACTAAAAAAATATTTTAAAGCTTGAAACCTTTAATTTTTTGTTTCAGCTCTGTTTAAATAATGATCTGATTGATTTTTTACGGAATTATGCTGATACAAATGAAGATCCGTCGAAGCTGAAATTTTTTGCGGACTTTACAAATTATTGTTTCATGAGAGGAATTAAAAATTGTACATATAAATGCAGTTTACAGTGAAAAATTTCTTTCGAAAGAGTAAAATGGTCAAATTTAAAAAAAAAACGAAATTTTTTATTCAACTTTGTCACTCTGAAACTATATCGTTTCGGATATATAAAGTTTTCGTCTTAAATTAATGCGAGAAATTATATTTTAAAATCTTTTAAAACTCTTTAACTCTTTACGAAGACTCTATATTTTATTGATACATCTGTATAAACGCGAAATTTGATTGATTAGTATTTGAAAACACGTGACAATTTTCTGGAGCACTAAAATTATATCTTCAGTCGAAATCGAAGAAATTAACAGAGGCCTCTCTTCGAAAGCATGCAAAGTAATGTCCAGAACATTATTGATGATCCCTAGTGGGTCCCCTAAGGATCCTCTGAATAGAAAAGAAATTTCAGGTATGTAGGTTTTATCAACATGACTATAGAAAATGGTCGACTCACCATGGAGTATGCGCGAGTCGTCAGGTTGTTAAGAAAAGAGAAGGTCTTTCTTGAGTCTCACCGCTCGCATTTGCTCAGCGGCACTAGCAACGATCGGACAGAATTGTCGCACACGGACTCTGGACTTTAATCCTCAAAGCAGGCAAGTCATTGAAGCAGCTCTAGGTATTAAAGAGAATGTTACATTTAAAATATTCCGAGCGGTTGCTATGCATGCATAAATGTACACATACATATATTTATACACACGCACACACCCACTCACACCCACGCACACACATACACACACACCACATCACACCACACACACACACACACACACACACACACACACACATATTGCGGCGGTGTGTGTGTGTGCATGCACCTTTACGTTATGAAGCGCGTCATGCATGCCGCAATCGCATCTCAACGCTTCGCGTCAGGTCATTGACAATTTTACGTAATCATTTGGTGCATCCGAACGGCGAGTTGAACTGATATGAGACGCAATCGGGGGCGCGAGAAGTTTGTGTTTTATCAATGTTTTATGTCATGAAATGTATTTCGCGCGATCGCATGGCCGTTGTCCGCGCAAATTCGGAGTAAGGAAGATGAAACATGAAAAGTGTGATATTAGCAAATACAGAGAATGCGCAGCTGGTGTTAATATTTAGTTTTACTTGTTGCTACGTTGTTTACCTGTTGATACATCCCATTGTATGCGAAATAAAAATCTCAAAGACGAAGAAAGAATGTATGGAATGCACTGTAAGGATGGAGAATCTTGCATGAGCTGATGATGAAATCATCAATAATTGAACAAGATAAATATCACACTTTGCCTCTTATACTTTATTAGTTGGAAATCTGTTAACTGATAAAGTTAATTCCGTGTTGCTAGCTTATTCAAGGTCGGCTAGATTGTAAGACTAATAAAAGAGCATAAATGTAAATTGCATTTAAAAAACTTTGTAATAAATGAATATGTATTAATTGTGATAAATGAAAATGTATTTGACGATGATTTTTTCTTCAACAATCGAAAATGTGAATGATATTTTGAGTGAGTATTTTACCGAGTCGACGTTTTTTGCTTTCATTATAATATTTTATTTATTTATTTTATTTCTAATTAGTTTTTAACTTATTGTTGTATTCACCAGAACCACGAAAAATTTCTGACAATCGGGTGTCCTTTTGCGAGCAATTGCCGAGTTTTTGCGAAGCCACATCTCTACGAAGACCATTCGTCGACCATTCTGGTTATCTAATTCACGTATATTACTTTTTGTTTGCATTATTATATGCTCTTCTTAAGTAATAACTTTACTGCGTTTTATTCGATTATCTGAAAATGGCTCAATCAAGAAATTGAAACATGTAATAATTAATTATTGTGTATTTTTGAATCTATATAATGTAATATATTTTTATATCTTGACTTTTTATACTCATGATTGTTTAAATTAATTGTTATGTGCCCTTTATTATCGTTATTGTTTTAAAATTAAGAGATCTAACTTTCTGGTTATATAAAAATGCATTCATTAATTCGAACAAAATCAACTGCTATTAGTGCTATTATTCCAATGTTAATACACGAATATGATTGATTTATTAAAGCTATAACGAAAGTGAATCAACAAGTCCCTGAATTAAAGATATTTCGTTATTTATGTTATATTATCCTTTTCTTCTTTTATATGTAGTATTTCCAAAATATAATATGTTAAATTAATATTCAGTTTAAATATTATTATATAACAACAAATCTGCTCTCGATTTATATCTATTTTTAACATATATCTTTTTTCTTTTAGACAGCATAACTACTACTAACGTGACTGCTACTTTAGACAAAATGGCAGAAATAAATACTTTAGGATGGGTCGATTATCTGATTATAGCGATAATGCTATGTATAAGTGCTGGAATTGGTGTTTATTACAGATTTAGTGGAGGACGTCAAAAAACTATGGAGGTAATTATTATTATTAGATCCTCTCTCTTTCTCGATAAAAAAAGATGAACCTTTAAAGTTTAACTTATACTTTTTAGGCATCATTAAAATAAGGTTATTTTTTTCTTATATTTTTTTGCTGTAATGAAAAGTAATGTGTTTCACAGGAGTACTTCGTTGCAAGTCGATCAATGAGCATTATACCTGTCGCTGTCGCCTTGGTGGTCTCTTTCATGTCTGCTGTTACGCTGCTTGGTGTGTCCGCTGAGAATTATACATATGGGACACAATTTGTTGTAATAAACCTATCGTATTTGTTGGGCACTCCGATTGTATGTTATGGATTCCTACCAGTATTCTTCAAGTTGCAGGCGACGAGCGCCTACGAGGTGAGTCTAATGAAATTTGATTTTGACGCTAGAAGTTTTTAATGGAGTGTATATATGGAGTGTATATTTAAAAAAAATATTCTTTTAGTACTTAGAAAAACGTTTCGGAATGAGAGCTAGGATGATGGCTAGTTTTGTTTACTGGATTCAGCTACTTTCATACTCAGGAGTGGTACTTTATGCTCCTTCTTTAGCCTTGGAGGCGACAACAGGAATTTCAAAGACTGCCAGTATCATTATTATTGGCCTCGTATGTGCGTTCTACTCAACAATAGGGGGCATTAAGGCTGTGCTAATTACTGATGTATTTCAAGGTTTACTCATGTTTGTCGCCGTGTTCTTAATTATTAGTATAGGTGCTAACGATGTAGGGGGATTGGGACAAATCTGGGAAATCGCAAAGCAAGGGCAACGGCTTGAATTTGATCGGTATTTCAACTTATTTTTTTATTTGATCTACAAGAACTAACTAATGTACACTCAGACATTAATTGATATTTTATTTTTGTTATAGCATCGATCTGGATCCAACAGTAAGACATACCTGGTGGTCGCTTACGTTAGGTGGTTTATGTACATTTTTATCACTTTACGGAGTAAATCAAGTACAAATCCAGCGTATGTTGACTGTAAAGTAAGTTTTATAATTTATTAATAACGCCGGATAAGATTAAAAATTATCAAATATATTAAAGTAGCCTATGAAAAATGAGTCGAATTGACGGTTATTTCTCTGCATATTGATGCTTTATTTATCGTAACGTAAAACGATGCCAAGTTAATCAAATAATTTTAATGTTTTCTTGCTCATGTTATGAAATACGCTATTAAATACTCTTTTCACATAACATTTACCGATTAAATTACGTTTAAAATATTGTAGGAAACTTCATTAAGATACATTTTGTTTTAGAAATTTGAAAGCTTCGCGAAGAGCCATGTGGCTATCATGGCCTATTCTATCGCTTCTTTCGATTACAACTTGCTTTTCCGGATTGGCAATATATAGCAAATATCATAACTGTGATCCATTTCTTAAGAAAAGAATTACTTCATCTGATATGCTTATGCCATTGTACGTTATGGACACGATGTCCAAAATACCTGGTTTACCAGGCATCTTTGCTGCAGGTAATATTTTTATCATAAATTGACTGGATCGAGCTTAATATCTCATAGAAATTACATATTATGAAAAAAATTCTTAACGTATTAATGTCTGAAATATGCTCTCGAGCGTAATTTAAGACAATGTTAAGATAAAAACGATTAGTGAATCAGTGAGTTTACAATACTAATCTTGGACTCTTTCATAATTAAATCAATTTTAAAACAAAAGCGTACAATGCATATTTATAATACTAATCTCGGCCTGTCTGTGTATTTCCAGGCATCTTTAGCGCAGGTCTCAGCTCGATATCTGCGGCGCAGAATTCTTTAGCAGCAGTAACGTTGGAGGATTACATAAAACCTTTATACAAAAAATGCGTTGGATATGAATTTTCTCCTACAAAATCAGCTTTCATGGCTAAAGTGCTTGCTTTTACATTTGGTATTATTTCCATTGCGCTGGCATTTTTAGCGCAATTTTTAGGAGGGCTACTTCAGGTAATGTTCATTATTATTCTTCGACGCGTAAGATTGATGACAATAAAATAAATTTTTATCGTAGGCTTCATTAACTATTTTTGGAGTAGTCGGAGGTCCATTGTTGGGTGTTTTCACGCTTGGCATGGGTACGGAATCAGCGACGGAAAGCGGTGCAATAATCGGTGCTCTCACAGCATTTTCATTTTTATTCTGGATAGTCTTCGGTCAGCCACGTCCAATGCCACCTAAATTACCTACTTCTATCGAAGGCTGTGATAATGTTGCAAATATAACAATGTCCGTTTTGCAGAATGTCACGAGCTTGTCTAAGTAATTGATTTATCAAATAATAGTTACTGCATGGAAGAAACGGTTTTGCTGAAGAATATAAAAATTAGACTTGATACACAAATCTGAAAATTATATTGATTGATTGGAATAATTAGAGCGTTTAAACTTGTTGCTATAGCGTCAAAGCTTTTTGTGGCATATCATCATGCTTAATTGTCCTCTATAAATTTGATGGTGCAATATAATATACAGGAATTGCTCGCATTATAACAATAACTATACATTGACAGCAAATTGACTCAGATATATGTAGCAATAGATCCTGTGGTCATCATCTACGTCTACATTAAACTTATATTTTGCCTACCGATAATCTGTCAGTAGATTGTCGACAAAAACTAAACAAAATTTGTCATTTTGTAAACATTTGAATGAAATATTATTTAAATAGTTACTGCTCAGATTCTGCTCAGTTTCTGCTTTAATTTCTGCAATTAATTTGCCATTAAATTTTGTTGGACGTCGAATTGACGATTATTTCTCTGCATATTGATGCTTTATTTATCGTAACGTAAAACAATGCCAAGTTAATCAAATAATATTTCTGCGGATAAATTTCTATTGATAAAATTTATTACAGACACTATCAAATTCTCACACAACAAAAATCTTTTAGACATTACGATCTTTAGGCTATTTCTGTGTAATTTTTGTTAAATATTTTTGTTGTATGGATTTGTTTTTAACGGATTTTAGAGTAATTTTACATATTATGTATATATATATATATATATATATATATATATATATGTGTGTGTTTCATTTTTTATACTCTTGAGCAAACTGTTTTTTTTTATATATATTACATATACGAGATCGTTTAACGTATTGTCATATTTTTTTCCAGAAGCACCGGCGACAGTTCATACTTCTATCTGTATCGTATTTCATACATGTGGTATTCACCCCTCGGATTTTTAATAACATTTATACTTGGACTGATTATTAGTAACATATCTCGTTTGTTCTTGAAGAAACAAAATGATGAATTAGACACTAATTTATTCTTTCCCGTGTTAGCGCGGCGTATACGTTATAGACGATGCATGGATGTGGAGAATGAAAGAAGTTCTTCTTCATTAAGCAGGAAATATTCTCTTAACGACGGGAAAGACGATGCCACTGATAAAATCTGTACAAAACTTTAATAGTAATCTTAGCTAGGTATTATAAATACTCCGTACTTATAATAGAAAAAATTGATGTTTAAGTTACAAGAGAGGGAAGAAAGAAAATACAAATATATTTTTATCATCTCGTGGGACCTAAATAATAATTCCAGCAATTTTAAGAAAAAGCTATTTAGCATCTATGATTTAAGGATAAGAATAGAATAAGTATCTTTGTAAGTACCTGTGTGCGAATGACTTATTTGCAGTTATTTTTTTCAGATAACTTTATTTTAGTACATAAATTAAGTTGGATAATTGTATACATGTTGAATTGTATACATGTTTATCATGCTGCGTTCTGGTACTGACAGTTAGTACTGTGTAGAAATATAAAAAAGTATACGTGTTTTATATAAAAATTTAGTGAGACATATTTCTTTGAACTTTAGTTCCTTTATATGCATAATTTTTGTAGATGTATTTAAAGGGAAACCTCTTAAACAATCTTGACAATATTTAGCGACGTAAAATGATAAAAAAGAAAAATAGCTTTAAGGCATTACGTTCATATCATCTACCGCGGCTGCAATATGTAATTTTATAGTAATAAGGAAAAATAATTTTACTTATTATGTATAATTGTATCAATTATGCATGATTGTTTAACCGGCCAATAGTCCTCTTGGTATTTATATACTCCAGTTGCACGAAAATATGAATTGTTGTAAAATGTATATTTTCTTTCTTCTTGGACATATTTTCTTTTTTTTAATAATTATTTTTTACATACTATTCATTGCAAGTTCTTAAATTTTGACTTAAGCATACATTTGAATAATATTATGACCGTATCTTACTTTAAATAATTTTTAATATTTAATATAAAATTTTATAAGTGCGTAATGATATTGTTAATATTTAAGGAACTTTATGGCCAATAAATCATATTTCAGAGAGTATTAAAAATTCAATATTTATCTAAATAAATAATTTTTTTGTATTAAAAATACGATTGTGTTTTATGACTATTGTTTGTCAATGTCAACTAAGATGATAAAATTACAGTTAAGATGATAAAATTACATTAAGCTCAACTGAAACGCGTAAATGACTTTTAAAATTTTCACTGAAAAACTTCTCAAATATCTTATAAAAATATGATCAGAATATTTTATATTTTAAATTTACAAAAAAAATACTTTTATATTTTATGAAAAAGTTTAAGAAGAAATTTCTAAAAAAAATATTTTCAATTTCTTCAGATTTTAGAAGTTAACAAATTATAGAATAAGATTTTAGAATATTTCATAGAATAATTTTAGAATATTTCAAATTTACACATATTTATAAAGTATACTCTAGAAATAAAATAAAGATTACTTCCTCAGTATTTAAAAAAAAATTCCAATATGTATAAAAAAGATTAGAAATTTTCTAAACAGTTACACAGTTATATATTTATAATTCTAAAAATAGATTCTATAAGTTGTCTTCGGAAATTATAAATTAAAAAAAATCTTAGAATATATTTCAGAATTCACATTTACAAATTATTCTAAGAATAAAGATTTAATATTTCGTATTAAACAGCTGTAAAAAAATGTCTATTAAGAATTACGTATTTAATTATCAGGAAACATAAATTTATGATTGATAGTTTTTCTTAATAATTAATAAAGATCGTTTACAAATGGGTGATCAATTATTGGCTACATAGTCAATAATTTCAAGATGTATAATGAAAATGAAAAATGTATCCTGTTTTCTATATTATTTTCATGTCGCGGCTTTGCTGCGCAGCTTTACCTATAACGCAATAATTATCAACTTCCTTCGAAATGCTCACAATATCCAGGCGACAAAAGAAAGGAAAAAGAAAAAAATTGCGGCCTTATGCAAAATGATGGTATACCATCGCACGATGGTGGAAGGGAACAAACCAAGGTGACAGCGGAAAGCTTCTGGTTCGTTCGGATTGATACGCCAGATTGAACTAACGCCAGCCAGTTGAAACCAGTTTCAATTTATGCGACTCTGCCGGACCACCGATCGGGACTCTCAATGGGTCCTTTTTAATTATTTTTTCACTGAAACCTTGTCAGTTGGTAGGCGGGGGAGGAGCGAGAGAGAGAGACTATATAACAACGCCCGATGTTTACGTTTTTCTTCGTGAATGACTGTTTGTTCATATTAATCAATTAATCATCATTAAATCATCAATGTAACGGCAACTGATGTTTCACCTTTGTCAATAGTGTCAAACATTTCGATGATCTTCCTTCGTGCGATGATTGATTTCTTTGACGTATGTTGCTGACGTGGCCGTTCAATTAGACAATCTTCGCATTAATTTTTGTTAATTAAAAAATTACCAAAAAGAAACGAAAAAATTATAGCTCTTATTACACAATGGGCTGAAGACCCATTATATGTTGTGCCAAAATTTTATAAAAGTTAACTTTTTTATAGATACGAGAATTTTATAAAAGTTAACTTTTTTTATAGATACGATTTTTTATGAAAAGATTTCTTTAAATCAAATACGACATTTTAAGTAAATTGCAGAAATTAATTTTGCAACAATTATTATAAACAAATAATTGAACATTGACTACAGAGTAAAATTGATTACACCAATTGGTTCTGTAAAAAAAATTACTTAAAAGAAACACACAATTTTTTCCAATTGTTATTTTTTTTAACCTTGTTTGTTCAGGGCTGCATAAATTTTAATAACCTATGACTTTTGTTTTTTTTTCGCATTATTGGAAAATGTGTAATAAGAGAAAAATTATACTGTGTGTTTTTTTTTGTAACTTTTCTTGCAGAAAAATGATTTGAAAATTGGCGTAATCGTAATCAATTTTCCTTAATAATCGATATTTAATGATTTATTTATAACAATGTGTTGCAAAATTGATTTTTAATATGCTTTTAATGTTAAAAATATTTCTATGCTCCGATTCTGTTACCAATTATTATATTTTTGCTAATTTTGCTAGTTTAGTCATATGCATTAATGAGTTCAAAAAATAAAATTGAACTCATTTTATCTTGACACTTTCATCCAAGATCTAATTTTTTAAATTAAAATATATTTTTCTTTAAATTATATAAAAAACTGAAAAAAATCAAATCTCAAGATATTTATCTTGATATTTTTCTTGAAATAATTGAGTGCATTTATTAAGATAGGACATCTCGTTTTTAATGAAGATTTTCATTAATAATAAACAAGAAATAACAAAAATTAAGAAATTCGTTGTAAAGCAAACATGTAAAATGTATCATCCTTTTCCAGAAAAACTATGAGGCTTTGTGGAGCCAAGAGTAAATAGATGATCATATATGCAAATTCAATATATTATCGGTATATTGATAATATATGTAAATTAATATAAATTAATATTAATTAAAAAATTATAATATTATTGTAAATTTTATGTAATATTCTTTTTTTCTCTGTAATCACATAGAATTTATTATAACTTTGTCTGTAACTAAGAACATTAATGCAATATTTATGTTACTTGCCATTATTCGAAAATCACGTAAACATGTTATTATTACCTGAAAAGGAGGAGAGGATTTTTATTGTTTCAATTTTATTTTTTATTTATATATGTTATGTATATATTATATTATCTCACAAGATAATGAGATAATATATACGTACCTTTAACATGCACTTTTGTAATTCTCTCTATTCCCGCGATCTCGTCGCATTACTTAGTTTTGACAACACGCTTACATTATCTTGGACTTTTGATGTCAACAATCTCTGTAAGTGTTGCGCCTTCTCTCTCTCGATTCTATAGTAGAAATAAAGTTTCTCTCTTTCGTGTGTACAATTACAGAGTGAATAGAGTCATGTATGAGAATAATAGTTCATTTTCGTGTATATGCGTTTCTATGTGGTATTCCATGATCTGTTAATTGTAAAATCAAAGCATATGTATAATTGATCCATTGATCCGGTCAATGTAACATGATTTGCCAGTTTCGACCACTTAAGGATCTGTTGTCCTATGAATAATTTGACAATTTTATCTGCACGATTTTCTACGATTAAAGTTGTTAAGAGGTGAGTAATATTTAAATTAGCGGAATTGTTTTGAGAGCGATAAATCTTTATAATATAATATAAGACAAATTTTTCAATGAGTTCACGCTTGACATAATTAAAAAAAAAAATTTAATAGGAGATCATTAGAGTTCGCTTCTCAATTTCTACCCCGTCATTCATGCTGAGAATGAAATATTATTTTAATATTATTTTAAACGCACGTACAAATCAATAATTAATAATGTAACTTACATATTAATATATATACTCAATTAGCACTACGACGTATTTTACAGTTAGTGTCACTCATGAATCCGAGGAATCATGATTAATGCGCTAATAGAAATGCATTGGATAAAAACCTCCCTTCGTCGATTTTAATCGGAATTATCTGGTTAGATCTGAACGCGACTGTATGTACAGGGTGTCCGAGAAAATTTTCAGGACGTTCTCTTTTCAAAGCACAGGTGTCAGGAAACAATTCAGGAAATTGTTGGCGGAACTCTTGATATAAATACAATATCAATATTTTTATGACAAATCGATAAAAATATAATTAATTACCATTCGCTCGAAGAAAAAACACAAATAATTTGCAATTTGTGTTCTTGACATAAAAAAATCTGATTCATTCGGATTTTTTTCTTTTTTTGTATACAGTTATAAATATTTTTTATTTATATATGTATATGTGTCAAGAAACACATCATTTTCGTTTGATAAGTCGTCTGCCACAGTCATAAATTCTAGATTATGATTTTAATTAAATGCATGATTTATGCAATTTCAATTTCAATTGACGCACATCGACATATAAATCCTACATCAGTTAGAAATTCCCATCTACCTAGTTTGTTTATCATCCTGTAAACCATAACCGGTTAAATGTGGACTTGGCTGGATTCGCGCGTGTTGCGACTTCTTATACATACGACATTGGCTTCTTGTCCTATCTTGCATTGCGGATCGGCTGTTCGATCCTAATATTATGTATATCATTATTTGAAAATTGTATATGTCCTACATATATAATTGAACAGGAAAAAATCATGATTTTTAATAAAAAGTATGAAAGTGATCTAACATTTTTGGAAAAGCGAGAGAGAATAAAACAATAGAAAATGATTTTCAAGTAGAAATATACTACAACTTCAACTCTCCTTTGCCACTTATGTGAAATACTCCGAGAGAAACGTCATTGAATAAATACAATTTGACTAACGACAAAGTTAAATAAAATACTGTCAGTACTGCTTAATAATTAACTAAGATTTACATTTCTTATTTATTATGATAATTTATTATGAACATTTCATTATTCACATAAAATAATCGATACAGAATTCTGTACCGATCTCTGTACCGATTATTAAATGTCAAAAAGAAACGAACACTAACCTTAAAAAATATATAAAAAATTAAATATATTATTTAAGTCCTCTCCTATCAAAAGTTGCTCTCAAACGTTTTAAGAGTGAAGAAATTAATCTCTTTTATGCAACAAAAAAGATAAAAATATAAAATTAATGAGAATAATAAAATTAATAGTAAAATAATTTAATAGTGGAATATAATTATAATTTAATAATTTAAAAAATAAAGAAAAAAAAATAGATTTAAAGAACATATTTTCTTTCTCTCTCTCTCTCTCTCTCTCGCATTATTTCTTCGATACCTTTGTACGTTACGTTAAATTATTAATTATGTCTGATGTAATGTAATTTATATTAGATTTTGAATAGAAAATAATAGAATACAAAACCGTAATGAGAATATGTTTCTCTTCTTTTATGTTTTCAGTATTGTTCTTGTCATAAAATAAATCACTGACGGTAGAATGAACTTATAAAATGGAATATTCAGTGAACAGAGCATTGTCCAATGTTGAGGACATATTATTTTAATAAACATCCGTCATTGACGATAAACTTGTTATACTACAATTTTGTATGCTTTTGAATAATTTCTAATAAATTTCCGCCAATTATATTAACCTTGGAATATATAAATATTTGAAAGGAAATAACTCACAATAATACCTGTTTTCGTTTGAGTCATCTCAATTAATTGTAATCTTCAAATGTTTTATTAATCTCATTGCAAACTAAAGTAATCTTCCTTTTGCAATACAAAGATGGAATAGTGATAGCATTATTATTATATTAATATATATAAAACAAAATAAGTATTATTGCTTTTAATTGTTCATGGAAATTAAATTTGAAGTTTTAACGAGAAAAAACGTGGAAACTAAATTCCTCAATATTGTATTTTTAAAACGCATTTTGAAATAAAAAAATGTTAATTTTATGCAAAATCTTATTTTACATGACAATTTTAAATATCTCTCGAACAACGCATTTAAAGAAAAAAGAGATTTACATATGGCTTGAGAAAACACGTAAATAAGAATTAATTTTTATTAGAAAAAAATTTTTATTTTAAGAATAATAAATAAAGATTGTCACCATTTTTTAAAATGGAAACATATGCTTTTTTTATATTATATGATCTTCAATTATTTATAAAATATAAAATATCTTGCAAATTATTAATTTTTTGATAATTGTTTCTTTGCTTTTATGCAGAGAATAATGAAACTTAGTTAATGTAAAAAAACACTTTTGCTCATTTAAAAAATTTTGCAATATGTAACTACATATACTTTTTAAAGTAGTTATACATATTTTTTATTATATATCAATTGATTTATTTTATTATTCTGTGCATAATAATATTAAGATTAAAATTATTTGAAAGCTGTTGATTTTTGTGTATCTTCTACAATACTCATATGCAAAATAATACAGAAAAATCACATTGTGTAAAAAAAAATATATATATATAATTTCATTATTTTTTAAAATAACCTTCGTATAAAAAAAACCGTGAAAAAAATTTTTTTTTCAAAAATATTTTTTACCTTCTGAAGTCATACAACTTTATATATGAAACATTTTTCTTTAAAATGCATTTTTAAGAGGTGAACATTTAAACTAGAATATTTTATATACATTTTCTAAACGAATGTAAAATATACGTATAGTATGTATATGAATCATATATATTGAATCATATATGTTACCTATGTTATTATCTATAAGCAGAAAATCCTTGAGAAAATTTATCCTTGGAATTATATCTAAATTGACAGAATGCAATCGAAGAAGTAAAGAAAATGCGCAATTTGTATGAATACGCAGAATTGTAAAACCGCGAATAAATCCCCTGAACGACATATATTCAATTACATGATTTATCGATTTGTTATCAATACGACGACTAAACGATTGTTACCGTTTTGGCGAGTTTCACGCTGAAACCCGTCCTACGTAGTAGGGGGATGATGATAGGACCGTTCATATAAAGGCACACACGTGACAATTAAAACGATCAGTCTCGATTCCGTTCTCCGTTTAATCCGTTGTAATTCCTGCGTTCCTTCATATTACGGAAATCGTGAAAGAGGTGGAAAAAAACAGAAATCGGAAGCTCGAAAGCATTTCGAAAATATCCGCGTTTTTTTTTTCATTTGAAGCTTATACAAGTTCTCTCGCGGGACGAGCAGTCTTGCATAAGAACGAAGTTTCGCGGGGAGCTCATCAGCCGATCATATATGCGTTACGTTAGGAAAACGAGCAAAATCATTCAATTGCAATTTCGCACGTTCCTATCGGAAATTGGTACGCGAGAGTCGCGGGACTAAGCGCGATCAGACTTAGAATTGTCTATATTGCGCATCCTCTCAGGTGATTTGTTCCACGTCTTGAAAGAAACAATCGAAAGGTGAGATCTACACTATGATTCATTTCACGAGTCTTTCTACAAGTCATTTTTTTGCGAGTATCTTTCCTGGTCAAAATTTTTCTTAGAATACTTTTATATGTATAATTTTCTACATAAATTTCAGAATTTTTCAGAATTCTTAAATGTAATTTTTACAATTTTTTATAAAATTTTTACTTAGATTTTTACTTTAGATTTTTTAGAACAAATACAAATTTTTCAATATTTTTGTATAAGTTTATAACTTTTTAAAAACGTTTTAAAATTTCTCAGATTGAGACATTTTTTAGCAACATCAATTCCCAAGTAATAATTTCGTGCAAAAGCAAACTAGTGAAATCCATTTGCTAGCAATTGCGAAAGCCGTCATATTACCATTATAATAACAAAAATATTTATTGAATTAAATTTTTTTTGCATATTGCTAAAAATCGTATTTGTACTATATAATAATGACAGTTGTCATAATTTTGCCGAAATATTGCTGTAATACATTTTTTACAATAACTGTTGAACTTAGTTTATATGCTTTTTTTTACAATATATTGCATCAAATGAGAATTCACCTTGTTGGCAATTTAGTTGCAACATATTTTAACAATTTGTCAGAAAAATATTGGCAAAATTTTATCTGTGAAGAATTTTTCTAAAATTCTTCACACATATGTGTGAATTCTAAAATACTTTCTGAGATTTCTAAAATTTCTTAGTCTCTAATTTCTAAAGGAAACTTACATAAATCTAAAGAAGAAACTTTAAAGGATTCTTTTAAAACTTTAAAGGATTCTTTCTGCATAAATTTAAAATATAAAAATTTCTTAAAATGTTAGATTATAAAATATTAAGATATATTATTATATTTTAAGATATTATAAGAAACTTTTTCACCAGGATTTAGTTAAAATAATTCCGAAAAGAATTCTGCATAAACTTTCAAATCCACGATTGCTCGCTTTCTCTTTTAACATTCCTGATGCAATTGAGTTAGTACGATGGAGAATGCAACTTTAGGGAAATTCTATTTTATCTTTGTTTTTTTTTTGCAATTTCTATAAGTATTATGTGTCAAACAGTTTGCGTATTTGCATGTTTACATCAAATTACATATTTTTATAATAAATTCTTGCGTTAAAAAAAATATTTCTTTAAAAACATGTTTGCTTTATGTACACCCTATTTGTTATTATTTATATAATTGCTCTTGATGGCGCATTTTCAGCGTAAAATAATGCTAAATTCAGAGTTTCAATATTTTATCGTTTCACACACGAAAAATGCTGTTGGATTAAATTTTATTAACATTCTTTAAAAACAATTCTGTAAGAAAAACTTTGAGCTTTTACGTTAGGAAGTCGACAATTTTTGCAAATTTTTTTAAACACGTAACAGACCAACAAAGAGAAGAAAATTTGCCATTTTATAATTTTTTGTTTTTTATGTAAAAATTATCAAACTCAGAAACTCAAAAAAACATATTGATCTTTCGAAAATAAAGATTTTAATCTTTAAGACTCCTTTTTCTTAATTTAAATGTTATTAATTTTTTTAAATACAGTTACAGCTGCAATGTTTTTATTATAATTTATGATAAAATTTATGTATATATATATATATATATTAACGTAATATAAATTATATATAATATAATTATTATAAAATGAACAAAGTATTGTGATCATATTGATTATTTTTTAAGTGATTAAGAAACTTTGTTCATAAATTTTATTATATTTAAATAAAGTTAAAAAATATAATAAACGGTTCTATCTGTAACTTAGCAGGTTACACTTCGATATTGAAGCAACCGGTTTTAACCAGTGAATTATAATATTAACCGGTTCTAATATATGTCTTAATTAATAATTAGTAACAATGTTGATGATAGTTACTTGTAATTATTATGTATAGTCACGCACAAATATCATTAAACTAAATCACATCGATCATTATATTGCATTTTCTTGTTAATTTTACATTGCGCAACAAATTAATTGTCGATAGATTATCAATAAATTACATGTTTTTCTTATAAGGATGTATGTTTTTCTATTCTAATTATTTAAGCTTTTATGTAAATTAATATTATAAATATTTACTTAATGAGATGCTTCGCATTTACTTTTGCTTAGATCTGAAAATTATAATTTTTAATATGATCTTTGTATCTATTTAATTTATTAAATAAAATTTATTAAAGTTTAACCTCGATATCTGAATATCGAGGTTAAACTTTACATATTTTTTTGATAATTATTTATAATAAATTTGATAAATTGATTTAAGTAATTATTCTATTCTAGAATTATGACAAATATCGATAAATATTGTAATTTCTTGATAAATTTGCTAAATTATGAATAAACATGACTAAATTCACATTTCTTTTTAGCATTACATAAATTTTCCATGCCATTCACTAACATTACATTGACACATTGATTTGAATTAATTGATATTTCGATCAATTTTATACCGATGACGTTTGAATCACCATATATCTTTGACGTAATCGATAAGATTTAAATTTAAGGTGAACGATGTCAAACGAAAGAATTAATTGAAACAGTTTCGTATATCAATTTTTATGGGTGTTGTTAAAACACTTATACATCGTATTAAACAACTTCTAGATCTTTCTGCAACGTTTAACACAAACATTCTTACATTAATTTCTAATACTGGATGATTTTTTAATAAATTAATCAATATTTTAAATATTTACATGTCCAGAATTCTACTTGACATGCGTAAAATTTATTGGTACGCAGTCATGTGATAAAATTGTAAAACATCTTATATGTAAATGAAGATAATTGATTGATAATTAATTCATTTCAGCATGATCAACGAATAAATAATGATATAATTAAAACTGACAGTTGCCACAAGAGAGTGTACATTCTGTGTACTATGATTAAACTGATGACTTATAGATTTCTAAATAACATGTCGATTTTTTTTTAATATTAGTATTTGTTGTAAATGAAAAATACCATGTTCGATCAAGACGGTACCTAATAATATTTCTTGTGACAATTTTTAATTTACGCTAACTGTGTGCTAACAAATTTGTTAGTTTTGAAACACAGCCTTAAATCGAAATCGGAATAATAATATCACAATTTTAAATTGCCAAGCAATTTTTAATATTTATACTCATAAATATTTTAATAATGCTAATAAAGATGTATCTTAAAATCTATTATATATATAATTTTATTGTGAATAATATTACCTTGACCGGGAATTATAAATAAAATAACATTTAAATTTGAATAAAATTAGAATGTAAAATATGAGGAACCATTGACATAAATACCATACTTTCAGAAAATGCGACAACATCTTCTCGTCCTGTTCCTTTTTTTGTCGGCATCATCCGCGGAGCAACGGCGTGTAAAAAGTGCCGAGGAGAAATGTCACGCGGATCATCCCACCCTGCTTCACTATTTCTCATGGGCGGATTACACGGTGCTCGGCATGATGCTGCTGGTCTCTTGTCTGATCGGCACTTTTTACGGCTTCTTCTCCAAAAAACAGGAGACTAGCCAAGATTTTCTGTTAGGTGGCTCCAGCATGGGCACAATCCCTATGGCGATGTCATTAGCTGCCAGCTTCATCACGGCCATTGAACTCCTAGGGAATCCCGCGGAGATGTACGGACAGGTTCGACGAGCCAAATTCTTAAAGTGTGTTACAACCCCCCTGGTGAAAAAAATTTATTCTTAAAAAAATTTTATAGGTGTTTTAAATTTATAAAGATTTTCTTTTAAAAATACTTTAAACTTTTCTAAATTATATAAGTTTTTTAAAAAAGTAAATAAAGAGCAATAAAAAGTCAACTAGGTAATTAATTAAACATATAATGACTATAAATATATGATGATTATTTTAATATATCACTATCATGATGGCAATTTGATTAACGATCAAACTAAACATTTCGGTCCTTCTTTAGACCATCATTAGCGGTACGAACAAAAACGTAATATTTAAAAAAAACTTAAAACACTATTAATTTGCAATCTCGCAATATCAATTGTGTTCCACTGCACGACAAACACAAGTTAATCACCTGGTTAAGAGGATGTATCACAGTTTTGAATGTCAAAATTTGAATTTTTTACAAGGAAAATTAGTAAAGACCGAAAAATTCAGAAATTAAGAATTTCTTAAACATTATTATGACCTTTTTCAAAGATCATTTCAAAAACTATTGTTAAATTCTTAAAATTAAAAATTGTATGTATAATTATTTTTATTATAAAATTTTATTTGTCTCACACACACACACACACACACACACACACACACACACACACACACACACACACAAACCGCATCCTAGACTCTCAGCTATCAATTTGTAACTAGAGTTACTTATTGTTTTTATTGCAGGGTACTCAATTCTGGATGACGTGCCTTTCTTTCATATTCGTGGTACCGATCACCTCTCGTTTGTACCTGCCGGTGTTCATAAAATTAAGGCTGACATCGAGTTATGAATATTTACAATTGCGCTTCGACCGAAATTGCCGATTACTCTCGAGCGCGTTGTATATGCTGCAAATGGTATTATACACGTCAGTAGCTGTTTATGCACCTGCATTAGCGTTAAGTCACGGTGAGCAATGACTAATGGTTATATAATAGTTTGTTAATCCTTTAACACGCTGACTGCTTTGGTAATCATCTGTAACCGACACTGTCAAAATCATAATTATAGTAACATGTAATTATCGTTACAAGTACCAAAAAATTTCCTCCCATTGTCAGTGTTGAAGTAGATAGCTGATAACATAATTCATATAATCCTATTATATTGTATTATGAGAGAAAATAAAATTGTAAAGATAAAATCTTGTTTTGTATGAGTAATATATTATGTAAAGATAAAATATTAAATGCATATATAATCAAATCTTAAATTATTATCGTAAAATTTGTAGTATACAATTAAATATTTCATTATTATGTAGAATATAAACAATAAATGTTTTTTAATTTGCAGTTACGGGCCTAAATACTTACATAGCCGTCACTCTAGTCTATATGGTCTGCATTTTCTACGCCTCACAGGTTTGTGTTTCTGTTTACACATATTATTATTATATACATACATATACATACTTTTGCTATTATATATTGTATGGTCGATAGGGTGGTATGAAAGCCGTGATAATGACCGATACTTTCCAAGCCGCCGTTCTTATCGGCTCATTATTCCTCATCATGGGTTACGGATTATCCTGGGAGGGCGGAATTACGAGCGTTTGGGAAAAGAATGCAAAATCCGGCCGGATGGAATTTTTTCATATGGATCCTAGTCCTACAGTACGGCATAGCTTCTGGAGTGTTGTGATCGGTGGTACTTTTTACTGGACCACCATGTTCTGCAGCAACCAGGCGTCCGTCCAAAAATATCTCAGTGTCGAGAATATCTCACAAGTAAGGATGTAAGTATACGGAATCAATTTTTTTGTATTAAGTTTTTGTAAAAGAAAAAGGATGAAGGTGGATAAAGAAATTATAATAGAAAATTATAATAAATAAATAAATTATAATAGAAAAATATACTTACTTATAAAAAATTTGATAAACGAATTGAAAGCTAGCGACTCAACGATTGTCAAAATTTTCCACGTTTAAGTAGTACAACATTGATAAGTTATTAATCTTGATTGAATTTGCAAATTAAGAATATTGAAATGACGTCGTTCCATTTAATCAACATCTATGATCTATTACAATAGGAATTCTTTTGAAGACCTAAATTCTCGTAAGTGCTTAACATCTGATCTTTCGGCCTTACTTAATTGTCATTAGCATGTATCGATTCTACTTAAGAAAGTGCTATCAAGTTCAGAAATTTACATAATTTGTCTTTTAGAAAATTTAGTATGCCTCTCAATATATAATAATCCAATTATGTAATAACTTAATTAATTTTAAATATGTTAATCTTATTAACATCTGACTTTGATCGTACCTAATTGTCTTTATAGTGATATAATATATCAACTGCGTTTAACAAAATATTTGTAATAAATATTTGTAACAAAAGTGAATTTAATTATCGGACAAACAACTTTACACAATTTGTTTTGTCAAACTTTATTTTGTAGTTTATTAATTAAATGATATTTCTTACAGAGCATTGTGGGTGTCTGCATTCAGTATGATCGTAATTTATAGCGTGAATTTTCTGACTGGAATGGTGCTGTATAGCGCTTATAAAGACTGTGATCCTTTAATAGCCGGATATATAAGCGGCCAGGATCAAATACTTCCGTTGTATGTGATGAATTTCTTGGGGGGACTTCAAGGAATGCCCGGATTCTTCGTAGCTGGTATTTTCGCCGCGTCTCTCGGGTTCGTAGAACATTTCAAGCAAACAATATATCTAATGGGAAATAAATTTATTTTGAACTAAAGCTCGAGAATTCATTGAATTACATTTGAAAATATCTTGTATTTTCAGAACTGTGGCGAGTGCCTTAAACTCATTAGCGGCGATAACCTGCGAAGATATTCTTCGCGGACTCTTTCAAATGGATTTGCCGACAAGTAAAGGTGCCATTTACGCCAGATGGATCAGCATATTTTTCGGAGTTCTCAGTTTCGCGCTGGTCTTCATAGTCGAGCGTCTTGGTAGCGTCTTGCAGGTAATTTTGCTTGCGTGTATTCGAAAAATCTTTGAATTTGCATAATTCGTATACATAAAGAATTCTATAAAAGGTGTAGACTTCAGCTTTTTGAAGTGTTCCAATTTTAAAAAATTGAGAAATTATAAAGCAATTATTATTAAAATTATTACAAAAATTGTACAAAATTCTGAAAATATATAAAATATTCTAAGAAAAATTTAAAAAAATATAATAAAAATTCTTTAAGCGTAATTTTCTCGTTCCATATAATATCATTATCTCATACGATGCATTATTTCATATGATTTATTTTTTTATAAGTTCAGGAATTTCATCTTTTCTTTTTTATCGCGCTGTAAATTACATTGTGAACTCGAAAAGTCATTATTGACAAAGTCGTTGTAATTCTTAGGTTGCGCTGTCTTTCAACGGCATGGTTGGGGGGGTGACTCTAGGATTATTCTCCTTGGGTATGTTTGTACCATGGGCTAATGCTAAAGGAGCAATAGTAGGTGCCATCACGAGTTTGGTAGTCGTCATATGGATTGGATTAGGTGCCCAAATTGCGGCTGTAAACGGACAGATTCAATTGGATAGCAAGCCTATATCGATTGCAGGTTGTCCTTGCATGAATGAGACAACAATTGTGCTCAATCACAACTTCAATGATGAAGTTTCGTCTATATACAAGGTGAGATTTGTCTTCTCAAAGGTATGGTTCGTAATTACGTTGTATTACACGTAATTATCTCTCAGAATTTCAATTCACTATAAGAATAAATTAAAATTGCAATTTCTGTAATTAAATGCTTATTAGTAAATGTTTGAGATCAACATTTTTAATTTATTTATTTAATTTTATATTTTAATTTATTAGACTTTGCACAATTATCTATACGTCGTAAATAGATTTATTTATTTTAAACTTTAATTTTTCTTGCTAAGTATTCAGTTTTATTATTTTTTTCGCATAATTTATCGATTTATTCCGCATTAATTTCTTCATGCAAAAAAAGAGATTTATTTGAGATTATTACATTGACAAATGAGATAAATCTTACGCGTGATATGATTTACAGACCAGTTATCTATGGTACAGTGCAATCGGTTGCATGTTGACCATGCTGGTAGGCCTGGCGGTGAGTTTTGCGACGGGCGCACAAAATCCCGCCGATATTGATCAGGACTTCCTGAGCCCGCCGATCGCAGCCATGTTCCGCATACAGACGAAACCTTGCGCCTCCACGAATGTGGTCCAAGGTATCGCGAACTTCGGTCTCGAAATGGAAGACGAAAAGCCTCGGCAAACGGAAGTTTGCAAGAAATGATCTTCTTGCGAGAGATCATCAATGAAGATCACATGAACTGGGGGAACCCGATAAATAGATATCGAGCCCGCGAGGAAAGTAGTCTGGTTCTGCGAGCGATTCATCGAATGGTCGAAAGGAACGAATTGTCCAACAGGATATTTATCCCTCGAGGGTCCGCCACTTCGGAAGGGCGTAAAATCCGTTCTCAGACTGCGTCGACAATATTGCAGGGATATTTAGAGAAAATTGTAGTCCTTTAGAGGTTTCTCTTACTCATTCTGAGCTTGAAAAGAATTGTTCAGAATTCTACTGTTTTTCCGTGCCAGTATTAGTTTCAAAAGAATCAGATAATCAGATAGCTATATCCAGTAAACATCAATTAACAGTAACATTATATAACAATATTATAATACTCAATAATATAATTAACGTACAATATGTGTTATATTACAATTTATATTGTTAAATGAAAAATTATAATATTGATGTAATATTATATTATTTGATGTTTACCGGATATTATTCAAGACACACTCTGCGTTCCTATTTGTGCGCTTGTTGAGTAGAATACATCCAGGGTACTGCAACATCATATAATATATAATATTAATTTAGTTAATTATAATCAATATAAAGGTAGTTTGACAGTTATATGTACAGAGAGTTTTATTTTTTTTAACATCTGATGAATATTTTTCTTTCTACGCAAAAAAAAAACTGACAAAATAACTGACAAAATATTGATAAATATATAAACAGATATTGTGGCGATTTGGAATTTTTTCAAAAATATTATCATAACGGAGTAGGCGAGAGAGAATTTTTTATTATTAAAAGTATTACTGTATAATGTGCAGAATAAAATGCATTGCACGCATCTGTCATTATTTTTTGCGCATCTTTTTATAACATATATTTCTGACTAATGTGATTTAACTTTCCTAAGTAATTTCTCATATAAACGCGATAGCAAGAAATTTAGATTATATGTATATTCAGCGTATTTATATATTATACGTCATAAAAATACGTCATTAAATATTAAATAAATCAAAAAAGTCTTATTTAAAGTCTTAAATCTTATTTAAATTTTTTCTTTCTTTTTATTTGATATACAAACGATTTTACTTTCGGAATTATTATTCTACACCTTGCGTATCGTTTCGCTTTAAAAATTCTTATTTCATGGAGACAGATATCTCAGTGTGTACGAAAGATGTTTGACTATTTCATTGTACTTTTATCTTTGCTTTCACATAATTTATTAACATGACAGCGTGTTTGGTGAATGTTTTCGAATAGTGGATTAAAGTAAATGTTAAAATATTGTATACTTGTTTTTTGTAAACACATGTGGAATAAAAAATATTTAAAAATGTAGATCAATAAATATTTAAAAATGTGGAACAATAATTATAAGCTTAAAAAATCGATTAGTAATTATATTAACGATGAAATATTATATAAAAAAATAAAAACCACATACAGAATAACATAAAACACATAAGAATAACATAAAATCCCTGGATCATATTCATCATAAAAACACTATGTTAATTTATATAAAATATTCATTAGTCTAATGGCGTTATGCTATGATTGTGCAGCTTATCATTTTATGTGTGATGGCCTTAGACTTTAGAAATAAATTAAAAGACAAGTTTATGTGAGTCTATGAGCCTATGTTAAGTGATCGTGTGTAAAAAATTTTGATTCTATTGATTTTATTGTGAAACGAAATAGTTCCTTTGTTAACTGTCCAATACTATACTGAAAATAAGGATCCAAAATAAGGATTAAAATGATTAACTCATATCTTTACTAATCATTTTTACACGTGATTATCTAACGTCTACTCGTATGGACTTTTTCTTTAATTTATGATTAATGATAAAATCATCAATTAATAACCAACTATCATGAAATAAATATTTCCTCGATTAAATGAAACTTATAAATGAACGATTTTAATAATAAGAAAGACTTTTTTAAAGTTTCTTTTAGTAACTCGGAACTTTAAGCTATTAAAATAATTTATTTATTTTAGAATCACTTTGACCGTATTTGAAGATAAAAAAAGATTTCAGTTAACGTAGAAATTCTTTATAGCTCTTTATAGAAATCTATGTTAATATTAGCCAATTTAATAATGAAAGGTAATAATAATTACTTATTTTAATTACTAAAAGCACTGAATAACTCAAAGTAAGTAATCTCTACCTTTCAGTATTAAATTTCTATAAGGAGCTATCATCTAATCAGACAAATTCTATTCTATTTAATGCAATTACAGTAACAAAAAATAAAACGTTTCCGTTAGACAGTTTTCCGTTAGATAGTTTTACATATTAAAAATGATATCGAGACATCTGGTATCCGAGTACAAGTATCATTGTCCCGTTAAAGTATCTGAGTACAGTGAACGTACGTTAACACCATTTGTGTTATTGTGGAAAGAGGAGAGAAGGAGAACGAGACAGTGAAAGTGGATCAATACGCGGTGAGTGTGCGGCTCGTCTGGCAGCGTACGGCTGTTTCTCCGCGAAGTGAGGCCGCCTGTTCGCGCTCGCAAAACACCCACGGTGATTACGTTGATAAGAATCAGATCCATTCTCTTTGACAGTCGTGGAATCGTCGACTCGTCTCCGAATTCTACGTGGAACGGAGATGCGCGGAGCCGCGCTCGAATCGTCAGTGTTCTATCGAGGGTGTCTGACTTGGCGTGTAAGGTGTTTCGTCTTGACGATGAGGCATTTGATTTCTCAGGACGATTAAAGGAGATAGCTACATAGCTCTCGCTGGGAGAGTCTTGCTCCCACGTCATCCGTCCTCTACGATTAACCTTTTTGCCTGTTTATCATCGACAATCGAAGGGTGTCTTCACGTTTGATTATATATGCAGACGCGCGCGGTAGTGACGGATAGACGACAGATCGATCCTCGCTGCATGGAGTCGAGAAAATTGGAAACTTCGCCGGCTCACGGTTGAAACAAAGAGGGAATTAGAAAGCGGCTCGGGTCATCGTGTTACGTAGCCAAGATGTATCTGGCTCATCTTGTGAGTAAAAACGAAATCACCGACGTTTTGCCGGAGTGTTAAAAAATTATTGTAAAAAAAATTACATGTAAAATTACAAGTATAGTAAGTTGTTATTTTTTTGGGACTCTATTAAAAGTATATTTACATATACGTGATTAATATATATATGAACATAAAAATACAAATAGAATATACGTGATGTATTATAAAAATGTATAATATTTTGAAATTATATAATATTATAAAAATTTGTACATTTACGTAGAAATTATAAATATATAACTATTATTGTAATTTTCCTAATATAAAGATATATTTATATAATTAAAAGTATATAAAAGTAACTTTTGTAAAGACCCTCAATTATATACATTTACATGTCAAATATTATACTTTTATTTAAATTATTTACTGAAATTATATATTTCTGAAATTTAAGATTTATTGTTACTATTGCTATTATTATATATAATTATATATAATTTAATATTGTTAGTATTTCTAATATGTTTTTGGTTATAATTAGATAATGCCATTTTATTTAAATTACTAATATAATCCATTAATCTATAATTTGTATCTAAATTCTATGTCAACCTGAATTTTTTATCTCATTATTCACTGATCCTGAACTAATATTTTTCAACAGATTCTGTGCAATATTGTAAGATGCTTATTTGCATTACACACACACACACACACACACACACACACACACATTATTAAATTGATAATCAATCATTTAATTCGTAATATTATTACTTCAGTTTCGGCTTATGGTTGCATTTTATAGTAATCGGCAATTTATATAACTGAAAGATGTTTTTAAAAATTACATTTACCTAAATATTATTAAATAGATTTATTTTAATTTCAATCATATCTGGTGCTTCTTTACTTAATTTGATTTTATTTATATAACAGTTTAGAGTTTCACCTATTTTTTTTTCAACTATTGTTCACTGATATAATTCTTTAAAAAATATATCCCTTTGTTCTTCTATATCTAAATAATTATCTATATTTGCAACCTCATTTCTATCTACTTATATTTTTTCTTTATAATAACATAAATTAAACTTACTAGAAGAAGTTCATGAAGATTAAATTTCTTCAAAAGGTGCGAAGAGCGTTCTGCAAGCAGGAATTGACGTGTCTACGGTTCCTGCGTTGGACCGTCCTGGTGCCGCTTGTGATTTATATGTCGCTTCTATTTGTCAAGTACAACAAAAGCGTGCCTCTGAAAAGTTTATCGACTCCGAGCGACCGGGATAAAGAGGGTGCTGCGATGGATAGCTTGTTCTTCGAGTTGGAGGCCGTTACGGCCGATAAAAAGAACTTGGCGGGTTACAAGGATGCAGGAATCGATCGACGCGGAAACGATGAGACCATCGTAGAACTGGAAAATCGTCAGGATTTGTTCTCTCCGAGAAGCCTTCTCGAGGACATTTTCCGACGAGCAGACACGGACGAGAACGAATTGTTGGATATCCAGGAACTAGCCAAGTGGATCCATGCAAAAATCACCGAGCATATCACGCGCGCCATGCGAGAGAACGTCGGTCTATTCACTGCGATCGACAACAATCCTAGAAATGGTATGTAGCTGATTACAGTGCGGTTTGCACAAGTGTTAATTAAAATCAATTGGAGCTTAACTAACGTTATTCAAGTGAATGGTTTTATTTCTCGATGACATCGTATTCGGGACGAATGGTTTTTCGATCTACGACATGTAGCATTGCATGAGAATAATTGATGAATGTAGTTTCTACATTTCTATTTTGATCTGTTGAATTAAATATTGACACGAAATATCAAAGAAACCACATTTTTTGCTATAATATGGGTTATATTTATATTTATAGCGTAAAATTAATATGACAAAACACGTTTAATTAATCTTTTTGAGTTTATTAATTAATTTATTGTTTGACAAGTTAGTTGATTAATAATAAATAATTAATATTTATACATAGATACAATATATAGTTATAATTTAATAGATATATTGTATATGAATACATAATTGATTATATTAAACTAATTTATTATTATTATTTATTTTCTTGTTATAATTTATTTTATTTTTATTTTAAAAATTTAACTGTTGGAGAAAGAAATTCTTGTGACGGTTTATATGATCTCAGAAAAATAAAAAAGAACAATAGTAAAATCTAGTGTGTATCCGGATAACACAGTTACATACTATAAACATTTTATAAAGGTTTTCTTAAAATTTTAGATTATTCTTAAAAGATACGTATAAAGCAGGACGTTCTAAGATTATTTGTAACATATTTAATTCAATAATTAATAATTGCTTATCTAAGAAAAGCTGTAGAATATATTCCATTAAATCGTCAAAAAATATTGTAAGACTATT